TATCTATCTACTTATTTATCTATCTATTTATTTATCTATCTATCTATTTATTTATCTATCTATTTATCTATCTATCTATTTATTTATCTATCTATTTATTTATCTATCTATCTATTTATGTATCTATCTATTTATCTATCTATTTATCTATTTATCTATCTATTTATTTATCTATCTATCTATTTATCTATCTATCTATTTATCTATTTATCTATTTATCTATCTATCTATTTATTTATCTATCTATTTATTTATCTATTTATTTATTTATTTATTTTCGAGATACATTTATTTATTTATTTTCGATCGTAATATCCTCGTATATATATCCAACATGTATGATATATATATATATATATATATATTTATTTATTTATTTATTTATTTTCGATATTTTCCAACGTGTAACGTATATGTAACACATACGTTCTCGACAAAGCATGCCACCAGATATGCAAATAACATTCGCGTTCAAATTCTAATTACTATTATGTGGCGATTATGCGTCCGTCTGTCATTTGTAGTTCAATCGTGACACAATTGTAACACAAATCCGAAACAAATGATCGTGACAGAACCAGAGTGAAAACAAAATCACGGGACGAAATTGACTTGTACTACTTGAGAGTAGATACTCGTCTGAATCGAACATTTATTTGGGAAAGCATTTGATCGTCGATGAAAGAGTTCGATTGTTTATTTATTTCCATCGTTGTAGATGTAATAATTGTTTCGATTTGATTCACGAAGTCGAAGGGCAAACATAAGTTATAGAAAATATTGCGCGTTTAGTTAAGTGCGTGTGAAAGAAAATAATAATTCCCGTTGTTGATGGAGACTTTTTATATTTTATTTCTACACGTTTTAAACATTGGTAAGATCTCGATTTATTGAAACTCATAAATCCGATCGATACTGATGTTCAGGTCGTCGGGAATTCGAAAATTCTCCAAACACTCGAGAGATGTGTTTAATAATCGAGACACATTGATTGAAATCCATCAGTATAATATCTCTGCCAGTAAAATCTTCTCGGAGATTCGTCGTGCAATTCTTTGAACAAACTCACCAACGCCTCACTATAGTACTCCGCCAATCTCGTTCCCGATGTATGCGTTGCCACAAGATTTAGGTCACAGCTCTATTTATCGCAACGTTTCTGACAAATTCGTGGACCATAAACGAGCCACACGTCGCGAGAAGGGCTGCTGTCCTTAACGATTTCATCGCTGTGTAACAGCGCAATATATGCGACTTTCTCCGTGTAAAAGGACAATTTCCTTTGTTTCTTTTTCTTTTTCCGTCGCGAGACACGTTCGTTTTACGATCTTCGCGTAGTTTTACCACGAAGTTTTACAAGTATAATTCTATTTTACTATAGAAATAGAGAAATTCATGAATCTTATATGTCGTGTCGTAAAACACGTGTTATACGTTGCGATAAGGCGTAAAATTTATCACGTATTATACAGATACATGGGTTGTTGCGCGTACGAAATGACCGATTTCGCAATCATTCAACATTTAGTGGCCAATAGTGCTGTTAAATAATACTCGTCCATCTCGAGCTTTCATGCTCGTCGAATTCGACGCAATTGGTGGCTATAGTGTAGTGTAGTATAATATAGTATAGTATAGTGTATATAGCATAATATAGCGTATATAGTATAGTGTGTATAGTGTGTTATAGTGTGTTATAGTGTGTTATAGTATAGTATAGTGTATATAGTGTGTTATAGGGTATATAGTATAGTATAGTGTAGTATAGCATAGCGTATATAGTATGTAGTATAATATAACGTATATAGTACAGTATAGTGTAGTATAGCATAGCGTATATAGTACGTGGTATAATATAGCGTATATAGTATGTAGGGTAGTATAGTATAGTATATGGTATATAGTATGTAGCGTAGTATAGTATAGGGTATATAGTATGTAGTATAGTATAGTATAGCGTACATAGTATGTAGTATAGTTTAGCATAGCGTATATAGTATGTAGTATAGTAAAGTATAGCGTACATAGTATGTAGTATAGTTTAGTATAGCGTATATAGTATATAATATAGTATAGTATAGCGTGCATAGTATGTAGTATAGTTTAGTATAGCGTACATAGTATGTAGTATAGTTTAGTATAGCGTATATAGTATGTAGTATAGTATAGTATAGCGTGCATAGTATGTAGTATAGTTTAGTATAGCGTATATAGTATGTAGTATAGTTTAGTATAGCGTATATAGTATGTAGTATATAGTATAGTATAGCGTATATAGTAACAATTGTATAAATGATCATCGAATTCGAGCGAGTTTTTCTCTTTCTTTTTTATGAAATCTGAAATGTCTACATGACGAAGTATTCGTATGTGTAAAAATTCGACGTTAGAAATCATTATTGTTTTCGATATCGTTAAATGTAAATTGTAAAATATCGTAAAATTTATGTTAAACGAGTGAAATTTCAATTTCAATAATTCTAACATTATCATAGAAATTATCAACTATTAACGCTATAAATTAATATATTAACTAAATGATCGGCTGATGATTTTAATTGTAAATGATTGTAATTGTTGTGCATTTTATAATATACATTAATATATTAATATTAAGTCTAAGTTTGATTAATCTCATTTCAATAATAGCTATGAAC